AGGGCCAAAACTATGGATTTTGATATGATTCATGGATAAGTCAGGAGTTATTTATTTACTATTTATTTACTTTGCTTATATACCGCTGTTCTCAGCCCGGGGGCGACTCACAGCGATGTACAACATAGAAAGAACAAGGTTCAAAATTCAAGACACAATATAAAATGATCCACAATCCAGCATTAACAAAAAGGTTTATACTCTGGAGAGAGGAAAGCAGTAATACTGTCCCTGGGTGCCGCCACCATTTCCCTGCCCAAGCATTCAAAAAAGGCGGAAGTTGCCCAATGGTGGAGAGAGTAAACAGGTTGCTGCTTTCTTTAGGCTCCTCCAGGTTGGACTGAGCTCTCATTCTTCACCACTTTATTCAGAGAAGGGAATGGATTCATTTTATGATAAGGGTTAATGACTCATGGAAGAGTTGACCCATAGATGAGTCTAGTCTTATACATGATTATATCGAGTGGATACTCAAGTGCATTTCAGCCAACATAATGTTCAGTCTTGAACCTTGGATATACTGCTAATAGCACTTGGAAACACTATTTTTGAGTAGGTGGTTCGAGGAACCTTAGTCCAAAAAAGGAACTTTTCCAGGCTCTGGTTTTTGAAGAGTACATTTTCCCTAGGATGGTTAGCAAATAGTAGGAGACGTGGGCACAACCATGTGGTGAAAAGGTGTTCCCTCTTTAGTCCAAATCCACCTTTGCAGTGAAAGAAAAGCTGCCTCTATCCACAAACTTATAGTCATTGCTGCCCATGAATTGTTGGGGTTCTTCTCCCCACAAAAGACTATTATGAAACCATCTCCGCTGTCTGGTTTATCGCCTCCATCAGAGGTTTTGTCATTCATCTCTCTGTCGGTGGCAGAGGGGCAGGGTGGGGGAGAGAACTCCAGACGACTAATAAAATATAAAAACTGCCCTGAGAAAAAAGGGAACGGCCAAACCGGGGAAGTTCCTTCCTTTCACTCCCCGGCTTTGGCACAAAAGGGATCCTGGCATTTCGTATAAGGAAGCTATTGTCCTGGAAATCAAATCTCCTTTTCACCTTTCTGTGCTGGCCTTGATCAATAGGAGGAAATTGAAGTCTGTCCTGGGAAGGGAAAAAACGAGTCTGCTAACACTGCCCCGATGACAGATCAGCCATATATAGTGACAGGAAAAGTGTGTTTGGGGTTGGAGCACCATCTTTTGGGCGCTGGAAGCAAATGTTGTAAACCAGAGTTTTCTTGGGATCAACACAAGCTTTATCTTTGTTGTCCTGCCTTTGGGTCAACTTCAGGTGCATCCACACTGTTGAATGAATGTAATTTGAGACCACTTTAACCACCATGGCTCAAGACTATGGGAGTCAAAGTTTTGTGAGGTCTTTCAAAGAGGCCTGGTGCCTTGCCAAACTACAGATCCCAGGATGCCATCGCATTGAACCATGGCAGTTCAAGTGGTGCCAAACTTCCACAGTGTACATGCACCCCAGGTGGACAGTTTTGGATTTTGGAGTCTTTCAGATTTCAGACTTCCAGGATAGGCAAGCTGTATATGTAGACATATGGCGCAATGGGTTAAACCATTGAACTGTTGAATCTGCTGGCCTAAAGGTTGACTGTTTGAAGCCATGGGGTGAAGAGAACTCCTGCTGTTAGCCCTAGCTCCTGCCAAACTAGCAGTTTGAAAACATGCAAATGTGAGTAGATCCATAGGTGCCACTTTGAGTTGAGCACCGCCTCCAGAAGCCGGAGATGAAAGGGGAAGCCATTACCTTTGTTCTGTGTATTTGTATGTCATTGTTATTTCCATTGTATTAAGGCATTGATTTTTTGTCTATCTGTGTACGTTGGAATCTGCTCTGAGTCCCCTCAAGGAGATAGAATGGAAATGTATTATTATTATTATTATTATTAAAATTGTTATTCTTTGATACACAACAAGATTGGTACACAGCAAAGAAGATCACTATGCTGACTTTTGTATTCAATCATACATCGGACACTTCCCAAGTGTCTAGGACTGTGTGATGTATCGGTGAATATTGCATGCAGATCCAAGTAGGGTGGCCTTTTGCAGCTGACAGATGGTAATTTTGTCAGCGCCGATTGTTTTTAAGTGCAGGCCAAGGTCTTTAGGTACTGCACCCAGTGTGCCGATCACCACTGAAACCACCTTTACTGGCTTGTGCCAGAGTCTTTGCAATTTGATCTTTAAATCCTCATAATAATAATAATAACAAATATTATCATCATCATCAAGCCTTTTCTCTCCCAAAGGAGACTCAAAGCAGCAAACGATAAAATCATCACAATAGGTAAGTTAAAACCTAAGGCACATAAACATTAAAATACAATGAAATATAGAGCTCTTCAAAAGACATTGTTAAAACCAATGAAAACAATAGCCAAAACCAATAAAATCCTGAAAAAGCCTATTAAACTACATAAACTACATTTCAAATTCCTGCAACCGCATATCTAAAAACAGTAGTTGTTGTTATTATTATTACTACTACTACTACTACTACTACTACTTCTACACATCTAAACATTGGACCAAAGCCTGCAACTGTACAATTAAAGGCAGTGCAAATGGCAGCAGCCAAATCTATTTTCCAAGCCCTGTAGAGTCGGTTTCATCAATCGATCCTCTGGAGATGCTTTGGATTACAACTCCCATCAGGCCTGGCTACCATGCGCCACTGGCGGGGATGATGGGAGGTGGAGTTTTAAAAGACCCCCAGCTTTCTGTGACATGAGAAAGAGAGTGAATGCTGCAGTGGGCCTAGCTCTCAGGGTTTGCGGGCCCTGAGAGCACAGCAGAGCTATAAATCTCCAAGCCTGGACTTCCCCACTTGCCTCTGTGAGCAAACAGCGCATTGCTTGTCATGCTCATTTGGCTGTGTCAGGACAGGCAGGGGAGGCTGGGGAGTTGAACCCAGAAGGTGTGATTTATGCTGCATTTGGCAATGGCCTGCGACGACTCTATGCACTAAGAGCTTCATTCCAGTGCGCAATCCAATGAATGCCATTGATACCACTGTAACTGCCCTAGCTCTATGCTATGGAATCTTGGGAGTTGTATTTTGGTGAGGCACAAACCGTCTTGGGCAGGCAAGGCTTAAGACCTTGTGAAATGACAACTCCCAGGATTCTATCACAGTGAGCCGCAGCAGTTCATGGGATGTCAAACTGCATTAATTCGACAGTGTAGATCAGGGGTGTCCAAACTTTTTGCAAAGAGGGCCAGATTGGGTAAGGTGAAAATGTATGTGGGCCAACCACTCAGCCTGACATTCTTTGAACCATTAACATTAAATACAAATGAACAATTTTATGAAATTTTGCAACTTTTGCAACTTCATACAGAACACAAATAAATCTAAACAAGGGACCACGGTGGCACAATGGGTTAAACCCTTGTGCTGCTGAACTGCTGACCTGAAGGTTGGCAGTTCGAATCCGCAGGTCACGGTGAGTTTCGTTGTTAGCCCGAGCTTCTCCCAAGGTAGCAGTTCAAAAACATGCAAATGTAAGTAGATCCATGGGTACCGCTTTGGTGGGAAAGGCATAAGACGCTCCAAGCTGTCATGCCAGTCACATGACCAGGAGGTGGCAAAGCAGTCTCCTCGGCTTGAACATGGAGAACAGCTCTTCCCCCAGACCCAGAGATGAGCACCACCTCCAATGCCTGAAATGAAAGGAGAAGCCTTTGCCTTTGTTTGTGTTTGGTTTCTCATTGTAATGTAGCAAGGCATTGAATGTTTGCCGGTAACTGTTTACACTGTAATCCACTCCCCACGGGGAGAAGAGCAGAATATAAATAAAAGTGTTATTATTATTATTATTATTATTATTATTATTATTATTATTATTATTATTTACAAAAATCACTCTGCCTTTCATATTTGAAGACCACATAAAATGATTAAAAAGTCTGTCTGGAAGAATAAACATGTCTAGGTTCATTTGAAACATTACATATTATTCACCATTAAATGCTCACCTTAACTTCTAAATCCAAAATCCATTCGTATCTATGCATCATTAGTTCTTTCGTTTTTCAATTACCCGTCAAAAATAAAAAAAATATTTATTTGATTTTGAATTAAATATCAAAAACGAGAAAGGCCGTGTTTTTCATTATTTCAATTTTAGACTCAGATCAAAAATACAAGATGAAAAAAAGGGTTACCGAACCTAATTTGATTTTCATATTTAATTTGTCAGGTTTGCAAGACCCGGTTTGATTGTCAATTGAAAAACAAAAGAACAAATAATACATGGGTTGAAAAGACTCAGTGCATACTCAAAACTGGTTTTGATCATCTTCTGGTAAAATATAAAATAGCTTTTTTGCACATGTGTATTTTATACTGTGGTCAACAGGGCTGGTGGGCCACATATCATTGATTTTATGACAGAGGTTGCGAGCCAGTGGAAATTTGAACATGGGCTGCAATTGGCCCCCGGACCGGACTTTGGACATGCTTGGTATAGACTTTGCTGAGATATATCTGTGCTTCCATTCCACTATTAGAATTTTTTTTACATACCTTGGTTCAAAATCAAAATGAAAACTAGTCAAGAAATCAGCAGACTAACATTTGGGAAATGCAGCTATGAAGGAACCAGATACAGTCCCTCAAGCATAAAGATAGGTGATTGAACATTGAGGCTGATGTTGTATTTCTGACATTGTATTTCTGATTTCTGATTTCTGTCTAGTTGTGAAAGCTAGGGAGAACCGACACATTTGACATTTGAAACATGTTTGAAATGTACCTCAGCACATTGGACATTTTCATCAACACATTTGATTTGGAGTCTTCATCAAATCGATGTGTTGGTTCCCATTTCCAAAGCATTGCTACCGTGGATGTCCAGACATGGCTGTTCTGCAGAAACCATGGATGTCCCAAAAGACCAATGAATAGGTCCCAAAACAAATCAAGTCTGAATTCTCATGAGAAGCCAAAATGACTAAAATGAAGCTAACATACTTTGGACATATCATTAGCTGACATGATTTATTGGAACAAAACATCATGCTTCATAAAGTGGGAAAAGAAGAAAATAGCACTCTACAGATGGATTGATTCAACCGAGAAAGACATGGTTGCCCTGCGTTTGGAAAGACCTGAGCAGGACAGTTGAAGACTAAGGTTCTTTAAAAGCCCTCATTCATAATGTCCCTGTGGATTAACATTAAAAAGTACGGGAACAAAATAACAGGACCTTGTGCCAGGGATTCGATTGCAGGGGAAAATTCATTCTTCATTTCTGTGCAGAATTCCCATTTTTAAACAAAATCTGCCAAATCGTTGATAGAATGTTAGGATCCTTCTGGAGGAAAGAAGATTCTGGAAATGCAGCTTCCTGATTATTTTGTTGCCCAAAGTTGATCAGTCAGCCCCATTCTTACTAGCAGCAGACCACGGATCCATGTCCCCATAGAATTCAGCAGTTGTTCTCCTGGCTTCTCTGGCAACTTTCTGGAACCTACGAATGTAGATGAGAACGAGGATGAGGAGAACCGCTTGCAACAGGATGAAGACAAAAAGGCAGATCTGGGAGAAGAGGGCCACACTGCAGTACCAATACTGGCACGTAGCAATGATCTCATCCTCTGACAAATAGGTGATGATCCTGCCTTGGAGATGTGTAGGGGAAGAGCACACAATATTCCGGTACGTGGTCCGGTTCTGCTGCCACTGTAGCCAAGACCGCAAGTAAAGGATGCCACAGTCACATTCCCACGGGTTCCCCCACAGGTAGATCTCCTGGACAACCTTCAGGTTGTCAAAGAGCCCACTGGGGATGAAGGTTAGCTCATTGTTGTTGAGGTAGATCTTCCTGGTTGAAGGGGCAAAGGAGTCGGGGATGATGTTGTCTGTGAGACCGGTCGACATGCAGTCAATGATATCGTCAGCACAGCGGCAAGGTTTGGGGCATGCAGGGAGGACCAAGGGAAGGAAGCCAAGGAGAAAGAAGGGCCTGAGGAAGGTCATCTTCCACTCTGAAAGACAACAATTGCATTTAGGAATCCTACATTGGACCATCAGATGAAACACAGTACAGTTGGCACTCCACATTTGAGGGTTTCACTTCTGTGAATTTGACTCTTTGAGGTTGTGTGTAACATGTTCTCTCAGTAATATTTGAGGTCAGAGATTTTTAAACTCTGTATCATAACACGTTAGCATGTCGGAAACAGTGTGTAAGTATGTCACATGAACATAACAAATAACCTCAGAATCTGTGTAAAATAAACAGTCAATCATGTATTCTTAAAAATATCAGTGAAAGGTTTTCATGAAGTAAGTTGTGTCCTCATACATGTTTGTTATGATAATTTATATCTGTGTCCATGTCTCTTATAAGAGGTGGGTTGCCAATAAAACTGAATTATTGTGTTGCAAAATGATGCGTGTTGAAAAGGTGTCTCACCAATATGAAACGATTGGAAAGCTCTGCTCTGGATCTTGCAGCACAACTTTATAGTCAACATCCATTGGAGTTGCACCATAGAACTTAGAGATTCCTATAGAGCAGTGATTCCCAACCTTTTTTTTTTTTTTTTTACCAGGGACCAATTTCCAACATTAGTACCAATCTGTTTTTGGTCAACTTTAGATTCTGTTTGGTGATTTGGAGTGCTGATTCAGGGAATTGCATTGGATAGACCACATCAACTCTAGTTTTCAGTACAAAATATATGCCATCCAGTAGTCACCATCTGCTCGCCCACAGAAAACCCTATTTAATAATCTAGTGCTGATATGGTAGTAGTAATCTTTCGTGGGTAGTCAGCCTCTCCCCTCCTGACATCCTCATTGCCTTGGCACTATAAGAGGGTTTCATGAGACTAGTTGCTCTCGTTGCCGCACGGTTTTGAGGCAATGGTGTAGTCAAGGTGAGGTCGTGGACCATATTTTCATTTGTGGGCCACTGGTGGTCCACGAACCACAAGTTGGGAACCACTGCTATAGAGAGAACACTTCTCTGGGCATTTGTAAGTCCACCACCACAATTATGTGGTTGACTTCTTCTGGAAGTTGACTACACAGTCACACTGGAGGATCTAGTGATTCTTAGACTGAATGTATTAAATTCTCAAATAATCCAATCTGCAGAAATCAAACCCACAAATGTGGAGGGCGAAATGTGCACATTACAGATTACATGGGGCACCGTGACAGGGGAAAAGAGCCACTATTGCTCTTCTACAGCCACTGCCCCACACTGTCCAGCTTCTTTACTATCCACTCCCCAATAAATTCAGATCCATAAAGAGGCACTATCCCAGAGTGGTTTGCAAAATGGAATCTTTTGGGGTGACCTGGAGACCCAAAATCTGGCCATGTTTTAAATCCCTGGTTGTACCATGGCTCATTTTGTGTCGTTTTGTGTCGTTTTAATTCAAAGAGAATATTTTGGTGTTAGGACAACTGCGCAAAAGTTGAACCAAAATTGTCAGAGAGATGAAAAGCTTTCATTTTAGGGTTTTGTAACTACTGTCACAAATTAGTATCTGTGCATTCCAGCATTACATATTTTAATGAAAAAATATGGGGAGGCGTTGTTCTAAAAATAATCAGAATGATAAGAGGAGCAGATGTTCCATCAATCTAACCACTTCTGAGATTCAGGTTTTGTTCACTTTCAATCAAACTCGCCAGGCATTTTGGATACAGTGAAATCTGTGAATCCGTGCCAAGAAAGAAACCAAATTATGGATTTTCATGAAGATCTTTGTGTGTCATTGGACCTATGTGGACAATGAGTTCATGTCACAAAGAATGGGGCATTTAAGTTAGAACAGTCTTATTGATAGTCACATTCTCATTGTTAACCTTCCATCTCACAAATTTTGGCTATCTCTTATTGCCATGTTGAAAAATGGCAAATGGGAAGGACTGACCACCTAGGATTCCCAAGGGACTCAACTTCGTCTTCATTTTCTCCATCCATGGCCATTGAAGGTGGGATGGTGGGAATTACAGTTCCCACCATCTGGACAACCTTCCTGCTTTCTAAGCTTAAGTAATCGACTCTATTAGTTAATCAAGTTTAATCTCTGTGGTATGACTTTTCTCAGCAATAAGAAATTAATATTCAATAACTAACGATTAATAAGAAAATAGTAATTAATAATTAATAAGAAAATGATTAATAATCAATACATTTTCAGAGCACCCCAGATCTGCAACCTCACTTTGCCTTCATAAACTGACACTCTGACCTGATCTAAGCTACCTTCTCATGTAACCAAAAGGAAAATGGTCTTAAGACTTACCTCTCAGGAATATCTTCCCCCTGGAACAAGAACCTAAGGGCTGTTAGCAGACCGTCTGAGGAACAAACAAATACTCAGCTGAGCAGTCCCTTCTTGAATGCCCTGCCTGCAGGAGAAAGATAAAGGAAGCGTCTAATTCGGTATTTCCTGGAGATGCCACAAGGCTGGCTTGCAATGGGAGCCCCTTTCCCATCTGCCATGGAAACCATGGCTAAGCAGCACACTTGCAAACAACATGGCCCACAGGAATGTACACTGCCTTCCAGAATCCCATAGCCGGACTTGTAGTCTTCAAAGGATCTGTGCCAAGGAGTGCTTTAGCTTCGCATTCTTGCATTTATTTATTTATTTATTTTGTGTCAAAAGCACTGCATAAATAAATAACTGATAAAATAAAGGGAGCACAAGAAGCTAAATGGTTTTAGACCAAAAACGGGCAACATGGTCTGTAGCTTTAAACAGTTCTTCATCTGTGCATGAGGCAGAGCATGGTGGGCAAGCATACAGATGCTGAGTTGTTTGTTCTGCTCCACAGTCGCATAAGGTGGAGGAGCCTTCTAGGTAGTGCCATTTTGCCAGGTTGTCTTTTGATCTGCCCACTCCACTTCTGAGTCTGTTCAGGGACTTCCAAGTTGCCCATTCTTCGCTTGCTCCTGGAGGAAGACCCTTGTGGGGGACCATCTAGTTGGGATTGCCTGATTTTGCTGGCCACAGGGATAACCTTGCTGTTGCTGGAGGAACATTAAGAGGAGTGGTGTTTCTCATGAAACTTTTCCTTGATTTGAGTCTACTGGGAGGAGGCCAATAGCCATACAGGGGGTGGCTTTCACAGTGTTCAACCTTATTTCTCTTGCAATTGGCAGCAACTTCATATCGCACATCGGGGGGGGGGGGGGAGCAATGCCAACCAGCTTATAAAGTTTTATCAGCAGGTGTAGGATTGAGATATCCTGTGGTTATTCTACATGTCTCATTCAGTGCTATATTCACCTGCTTCGCATGGGCTGATTTATGCCAGATGGGCCAGGCATACTCAGCAGCTGAGTAAGACAAGGCCAGGGCTGATGTCCTTATTAATTTTGGGTTTGCACCCCATACGCTATTAAAATGTTTCCTCAGGATGTTATTGCATGCAGCTACTTTGTGCTTGGTATTTGTACAGTGTTTAATGTTCGATCTGAGGTGACACTGAGATATTTAAGGTGGGAACAGTGGTCAAACTCTTGGCCTTCCAGGTAACCTTAAGTTTCCTGTTGGCTTCATGATTGCGTAGGTGGAAAGTACGCACTTGTGTCTTGGCCGGGTTAGGCTTCAGGTAGTTATCTTTGGAGTACAGTAGAGTCTCGCTTATCCAACATGAGCCAGCAGAACGTTGGATAAGCGAAAATGTTGTCTCTAAGATCTTCTGGGGAGGCCCTACTCTCGCTTCCACCTCTGCCACAGGTGCGGTTGGTGGGGACAAGAGAGAGGGCCTTTTCAGTCCCGTCCCGTCCCCCGTCCCCCGCCTCCAGCTCTGGAATTTCCTCCCCAGGGAGCTCAGACTAGCCCACTCCCTATTATTCACTTTTCGCAAAGATCTAAAGACATGGCTGTTCCGCTGTGCGTTTGATTAAACAATTCCCTTGACAATTGGCCCCAGCTAGGACTCAAAACATTTTGACCACGCACTTTACTATTGTTGTATCCAAAATTAGAATGATCCTTCTTATATTGCTCTTATCCTTAACGCTGCTATACGATCTATGCACTTTACTCATTGGCCCTATCCTCTGAATTTTTGTGCACCAGTCCGCCCACCCATATCGAGACTTGAATTATGCTATTGTTGTTGGTTTTGATGCTTGTTTTATATTTTGTTATAATGTTGCTTTATGTTGTTTTAGGGTTATTATTATTATTATTATTATTATTATTATTATTTTACTGACACAAAAACACAGTATATCACAGAAAATGAGATATATGTGCTGGATTTCGTATCACAAAATCACAAGTCGAACACTTCCCAAGCGCTTAGGACTGTGTGATGTATTTTCGAATGATGCGTGTAGATCCAAGTAAGATGGCCTTTTGCAGTTCACAGATCATGATTTTGTCAATGTTTATTGTTTCCAAATGCCAGCTGAGATCTTTTGGCATGGCACCCAGTGTGCCAATGACCACTGGGACCAACTGTACTGGTTTATCCCAGAGCCTTTGCAATTCGATTTATTATTATTCGATGCAATTTGATTATTATTATTATTATTATTATTATTATTATTATTATTATTATTATTATTTTAAACACAACAAGATTACTACACAGCAAACAAGATTATTATTATTATTATTATTATTATTATTATTATTATTATTATTATGGATTATAAGGAAAGAGTAAGGAAATTATGTCAAATTATGTTATGATTTTACAAATAAAGCATCAAAACATGTTTTACAACAAATTGACAGAAAAAGCAGTTCAGTACATAGTAACATTACATAGTAATTACAGTATTTATGAATTTAGCACCAAAACATCGCAATGTATCGAAACAGCTGTGGATCCGGGCGGGAGGCAGACTGCGTTGGATAATTCAGAACGTTGGGTGAGTAAAGGTTGGATAAGCGAGACTCTACTGTAGCTGGACAGATCTTTCAGAGCATTAGGAAGTTGGTTTTCAATGGTTTCAAAGTCTTTTGCTTGTGTTGTTCAGCCAAGGTCATCAGCGTGTATAAAGCTCTTTCTGAGTTGTAGTTGTGGCTGATCATTAGAATAAATGTTAAACAAGGTTGGTGTAAGAATGCTGCCTTGAGGTAGACCATTCTTTTGCCTCCTCCATAGCAAATAAAACAGTTAAGCAGAGAAACAATAAAAACAATAGCAATACAACAAGACATTATTAAAAACTGAGCCGGCCGGAGTAGGGGTACAGGATTAAAAGTGCTGATGTGTCGGAGGGATATGGGATTAAAAATATAAGTGCGGTGTGCAGTGTGCGGTGATCTTGGTTCTACTAAAGTGCTTCTGGGATTTGGTAGTGGGGTTCCTAATCTGAGAAAGCACATTGGAACAGCCAGGTTTTCAAATTCTTTCTGAAGACCACCAATGTAGGAGCTTGTCTGAGATCTTTTGGGAGGGCATTCCAGAGGCGGGGGGCCACCACAGAGAAGGCCCTGTCTCGCATCCCCACCAGGCGCGTTTGTGACGCGGGCGGGATCACGAGCAGGGCCTCTCCTGATGACCGGAGTGAGCGTGTGGGTTTGTAGACAACGATACGGTCACGCAGGTAGGGTGGTCCCAAACCGTTCAGGGCTTTGTAGGTCAGCACCTGCACCTTAAATTGGGCTCGGAAAATAAATGGCAGCCAGTGGAGCTCCTTAAACATTCTTGCATGACCAGGAATGAGATTAGATAGCACTTTCAGACTCTTCAAATGACCTGTTCAGATCCAGATGTAAATGGACTTAGCGTGCATCTACATAGACAAATCTATACAGTTCTATGCCCCTTTAACTGCCATGGCTCAGTGCTATGGTATCCTCAGCACCAGGCATGTAGGCGGGGGGTGGGGGGGCTTTGGGGGCTTCAGTCCCCCCCCCCCCGAAATTCTCATGGTGGTCTGTGAAAAGGTCTTACTGGTACATTATTTAAACTGTTATGTTTATTCATATCATGATCTGATCACCATGCTCAATATATCTCATATGCATGGGGGTATTGGGGTAACGATACAAAAAGTTTGCTAGGGTAGACCCTCTTTCACTCACACTCAGCCAACCCCCCCCCCCCCCCCCAATCAAAATCCTGGCTACGGGCCTGCTCAGCACTGATGCCTCTCCAAACTGCAATTCTTAAAATGTCATATTATTGGGCCATGGCAGTTAAAATCGGGTCAAACTGTAGGAATTCTACAGTGTAGATGCACTTTGAGATTTAAATCCCAAATCCATTAAATCAGGGTTTGGCCAAAGCAGAACAATATGGGACAGGAACTTCCCTTGAGCTGCATCCAAGAACTAGATGGCATAGTTCTCCAGAGGTGCAATAGGAGAGGACAAAATGTTTTCTGTGGGTCAAAAGTTGAGTATCCCACATCCGAAATGTTTGAGGACAGAAGTGTTTTGGATTTAAATTTTTCCCCCAGATTTTGGAATATCCATGGTGGCATGTATGTACTTAATGAGATTTTGGGAGATGAGACCCAAATGCAGAATTCATGTATGTTTCACATGCACCTTCGACACATAGCCTGAAGGTGCTTTTATACCATATTTTAAAAATAATTTTGTGCATAGAACAAAGCTTGTGTTCATTGAATCATTAGAAAGCCAAAGTTTCATCCATGTGGACTATTTTGAGGTTTTGGAATTTAAAATAAGATATGCTCAAGCTGTGCCATCGGAGGGAGTCCATCTGTTGTCTTTACAAAGTTTGGGATTCTTCTCAAAACGTCTTAAAGACAGCCAGCATCGCTTTCCAAAACAGTCTCCTCCTCCACATAATGCCCAGAGTAAAGTCTACAGTTTACATATCAATACTGGTAGTGGCCAAACTTGCAATGACAATGCCATGAAGACTGATAGATCTGGCCCATCTCTTCCGATATACTCCTCATGACTTGGTAATGAAAAGGACACAGCACCCTTTGTTAAGGACCAACGTTCACCACATCCTGGAAAAGAAGGAAGTGTGCCATGCAACAGATTACCAGCCCTGTGCCCAAGGTGACACTGCAAATCCAGCCAAGACTAAAGGCCAAAAGAACAAGCAACCCACTCTTGGGACATTTCAGTTGATGATGTCCATCTCGTTCTCTCACCACTGACCATGCTGACTAGACCTGATGGGAGTTGTAGTCCAATATGTCCAGACAGACATAAGTTGTCCACCACGGCTCATGATGCCCTGAATTAGGGCTTGTTATTTGATGAAGAGGGCACACATTTGCCTCCCAGTCTGCCACTATCACATTTGTATTCATTGGATACAATGCTTTCTTTCCCAAAATCTCTCCAGGGATCAGTAGCAGACTGCCAAGGGACCAGTGACTGGATCACCACATTATTGTTGTTGCTGCTGTTATTGTTATTGTTATTATATCTATTTATACCCCCCTTTATCTCTCCCAAAGGAGACACTTTGGGTACCAATGCCCTATACCGCTCTACTACTAATACTTCTATCCTTATAATAATAGTAGTGGCGTAGTTTAGGCTGATGGTTGCTCACTAAAGAATCATTACATTGGAAGGGGTTCTTGTCCAGACAGGAATTCTGGATGGAGAGTCTCCCTAACAAAACAGCAACCCCCATCAAAATGGTCAGAAG